TGATTTTTGTATTTTCAATAGAGACGGGGTTTCACCATGTTGGCCAGGCTGGTCTCGAACTCCTGACCTCAGGTGATCTGCCTGCCTCAGCCTCCCAAAGTGCTAAGATTACAGGCACGAGCCATTGCGCCTGGCCACAGCCTGGCCTAGTATTTAAGATTCTCCATTGGTTGGTAAACATTTAGAAGTAATTTTATGTAAGATATATTTTTGTGTTAAGGTTTGATTTTTGTTTAATGAAGACCAATTGCCTAGAGCCAAGTGATATTCAAAATTTTTAATGTCCTATAATGAAATTGACATTTTCAGTTGAAATGAAATGCCTTAGAGAGCAATTCTGTTGTAGAAATGTAATTGGATGGAAGTCTTGTATTGGTAGAACTCTTAGAATATTAAAAGATAGTACCATACTATTTTAAATTGAGAAATGAAACATTCTTCAGCAGTTGCCTTTAGCTATAAAACCACCGAGTACATTTGGATTTCTTTATGTAATTTTGAATGTTGAAACACATGTAATGCTTTAAATATATTAGTGATTCAAATTCACATGCTCAAACCTGTAACCATCAAAATGATTATGGACAAAATTCATTAATACTGGTTTTTGGAAACCTACTCAGATGCTATCTTTATGCTTCTCTGTATGAGAAACTCTCTAGAATATTATTTGATCATTCAGAGCTTGACTGGATTCTCTGTAGGTACAGAGCTCTTTATCACATTGTTCTGTTTACACACACACAGCCTTTAAAGACTAGGTTTATCACTCAACTTATTTTGCAAAGTAACTTTGTTAGAACCCCTTTCCCCCAATGATGTATTGTCTTGGTCATTTCATGATAGCACCAAAACATTAAGAAGTATGTATTTTTAGGGTTAAGGACGCTTTTATAGATTATATAGATTTAGCTTTATGAAAAATTTGTAACCTTTTCTTTACTGTTTTATTTCACTGTAGACTGCTAAATTTTTTTTTTTTTTTTTTTGAGATGGAGTTTCTCACTTTTGCCCAGGCTGGAGTGAAGCAGTCTGATCTCGACCCACTGCAACCTCCATTGCCTGGGTTCAAGTGATTCTCCTTCCTCAACTTCCATGGTAGGGATTATAGGCCTCCTTCATCATGCCCGGCTCAGTTTTGTATTTTTAGTAGAGACAGGGTTTTGCCATGTTGGCCAGGCTGGTCTCAAACTCCTGATCTCAGGTGATCCACCTACCTCGGCCTACCAAAGTACTAGGATTACAGGTGTGAGCCACTGTGCCTGGCCAACTGCTAAAAGTTTTATCATGGATCAGTATTGGGAACCCATGCTGTACTTGATTAATTTATTGGATTATGTATATACTTAGTTACCTATACTTTTTTAGTTCTTTCTATTTTCATTATAATTGTTTAAAATTTGCTTGCATTTGTTTCTTTATAATGGTTGTGAACAGATTCGTGTTTTAGCATATAGAGAGGACATAAGCTTATGTTTGTTTGTTTGTTTGTTTGTTTTTTGAGACGGAGTCTCACTCTGTTGCCTAGGCTGGAGTGCAGTGGTGCAATCTCAAATCACTGCAACCTCCACCTCCTAGGTTCAAGCAATTCTTTGCCTCGGCCTCCCGAGTAGTTGGGACTACAGGTGCACGCCACCACGCCCAGCTAAGTTTTGTATTTTTAGTGGAGACGGGGTTTCACCATATTGGCCAGGCTTGTCTTGAACTCCTGACCTCAGGTGATCCACCCGCCTTGGCCTCCCAAAGTGCTGAGATTACAGGCATGAGCCACTGTGCCCAGCCATGCTTATGTTGAATAGCTCTACGAAAGTCTTTCCATGTGTGACTTGGGCTTCAGCCTCTGTAGCTATTTTAGTAACCCTGGCAAAATGTTTTCACTATTAACATGTGGATTTAGTCTTTTTTTTTTTTTTTTTTT